CTTTTGGTTTTCTAACTCCAGGTCTCTGCGCATTTCATTATAATACTTTATTTTGTCTTCTCAAGCCACCCTTTGAAATCTTCTGTTCAGTTCTTTTATTTCATCATTTCTTCCATTCACTTTATCTACTCTCTGTTCAAGAGCAAGTTTCAGAGTCTGTTCTCACATCTTTTTTTTTTTTTTTTTCCTTTTCTTTCCTATCTTTTTAATGATTTTCTTCTTTCTTTAAAGAGCTCTGATGGTGCTTTGGTAAGATATTTGGCTGCCAACCAAAAGGTCAGTTCTTCAAACTCACCAGCTGCTCCACGGGAGAAAACTGAGGTTGTCTGCTTCCGTAAATAATATAGCTTTGGAAACCCTATGGGGATTGTTATGAGTCAGAATCAACTTCATGGTAGTGAGTTTGCTTTCTTCTTGTATGATGTTCTTAATGTCATCCCACAACTCGTCTAGTCTTCAGTCACTGGGGTTCAATGTGTTAAATCTGTTCTTCAGATGGTCTCTAAATTAAGGTGGGATGTAATCAAGGTTGTATTTGGGCTCGAGTGGACTTAATTTTCTTCAGCTTCAACGTGAACTTGTTCCATAGTCAGCTCCTAGCCCTGTTTTGACTGATGATATGGAGCTTTTCCATTACCTCTTTCCACAGATGTAGTCTGTCTGATTCCTGTGTGTTCCAACTGGGGAGGTCCATGTGTATACTTGCCATTTATATTGTTGAAAAAAAAGGCATTTACAATAAGTCATTGAACTTGCAAGATTCTATTATGCAAACTCCAGTGTCATTTCTGTTACCAAGACATATCTTTCAACTATTGTTGCTGTTTCTTGGTTTCAAACTTTCATGTTGCAATCACCAGTAATTATTAATGCATCTTGATTGCATGTTTTGTCAATTACAAACTCCAAAAGTTGGTAAATATCTTCAATGTCTTCATTTTTGGCTTTAGTGGTTTGTGCATAAATTTGAACAACAGTAGTATGAACTGGTCTTCCTTATATGCATATAGATATTATCCTATCACCGACAGTATTGTACTTCAGGATAGATCTTGAAATGTTCTTTTTGATGATGAATGCGACACCATTCCTCTTCAATTTCTCATACCCGGCATAGTAGACCATATGATTGTCTGACTCAACATGGCCAATACTAGTCTCTTTCAGCCCATTAAGGCCAAGGATATCAATCTTTATGCATTCCATTTCATTTTTGACAACTTCCAGTTTTCCTAGTTTTGTATTTTGTACATTCCACATTCTGAGTATTAATGAATGCTTGCAACTGTTTATTCCCATTTTGAGTCACGCCCCATCATCAAATGAAAGTCACTAAAGCTTTACTCCATCCACATCATTAAGATTGACTCTACTTTGAGGAGGCAGCTCTTCCAACCTGAAGGGCTTATCTTCTGGCACTATATCAGACAGTGTTTCAGGGCTATTCATAAAGTTTTCCAGTAATATATCAGACAGTGTTTCAATGATATTCATACGGTTTTCACTGGCCAATTTTTTTAGAAGTGGATGGCCCCATCCTTCTTCCTGATGTCTTAGTCTGAAGCTCCACTGAAACCTGTCCACCATGGGGGACCCTGCTGGTATTTGAAATACTGATCACATAGCTTTCAGCCTCACAGCAACACACAAGCTACCATCGTATGACAAACTGACCAGTGAGTGGTGGAATTGATGGGTAGGAAATGGAAATACACAAATATAACTCCAAGGTCTTATGCTCACTGCCTATAAAGGGCTACTCAAGTGGCAAACAGGAGAAGGACTAGTGGGAGGAGTGTAGATATGATGGAACTATCTTTGGAAAAGTGCCAGAAAATCATTCAAGGGGAGGATCCAGTGGTCAGTAGGCAGCTAGAAACATGTGCTGTATCTGCAGTAGGAAGGGATCAGGGTCATAGATTTGGGAGCCGTACTCATGGGTGGGAGTTGAAGTCATGAGATAGCCAGTGAATGAGAGTGAAAGGAAAGAAGAGAAACAGATGGGGAGTCATTGGGAGAGGGCCAGATGGAGATATCAGGGTAAGCAAAGGAAACCAGGAATGTGTGTGAAGTAAGCTGAATAATGGTCCCCCGAAAATATTAGGTCCTACTCCCTGGAACCTGTAGATGTTACCTTATAGGGCAAAAGGACTTTGCAGATGTGATTAAGTTAAGGATCATAGGATGGGGAAGATTATTCTGGATTATGCAACTAGATCTTAAATGCAATCACATGTGTCCTTTTAAAAGAGAGACAGAGGGAAATCTGGCACACACAGGAGAAGGAAAAGCAGTATGAGTCTGTAGAGGCGGAGATGAGAGTGATGCATTCACTAGGTAAGGGATGCCACGAGCCACCAGAGCTGAAAGGATTCTCCCCAAACCTCCAAAGAAATGTGATCCTGACTGCACCTTGATTTTAGCTCAGGGAAACCCAACTTGGACTTCTGTCCTTCAGGACTATAATGGAATAATCGGGTGTTGTCCTAAGCCACTATGTGTGTGGTAGCTTGTTAACAACAGCCATAGGAACAGCCCTTATATATGTGCTCACAGGTCTAGATTGGAGGAGAAACAAGTTGTTGTTCTGGAAAGGAAAGATAGCTTGAGAGGTGTGTGGCCAGTAGAGTCACATGATGCAGAAAAGGACAGAGGACGGGGACTGAGAAAGGAACAGTGCATCGGATGATTCACTGGTGGGGAGGATGAACAGATTGAAAGGCCAAAGGTGTGAATCATAAGGCGGTGGTGGTTCAGTGGCAGAACTCTCACCTTCCATGCAGGAGACCTGGGTTCAGTTCCTGGCCAGTGCACCCCACGCACAGCTGCCACCCATCCACCAGTGGTGGCTTGTATGTTGCTGTGGTGCTGAACAGGTTGCAGACTAAGAAGACCTGACCATGTACATCTGAAAATCAGCCAGTGAAAACCCAGTGGGTGACCACAGTCCAATCAGCACCAAGCACGGGTATGGCACAGCAGCAGGCAGCATTTTGTTCCTTTGTGTGTGGGGTCAAGGGTCAAGAGAACAGCAGCTAACAACACAAAGAAAGATGTGAAGCAGCCTCAGGAAACGGAGGCAGTGGATGTAGCCTCCTAGGTCCACAGGTTGTGAGAAAAAGGACACAAGGAGTGGTAACGTCTCGAACGTGCATATTTTATTTTTCTAACCTGTAAGTGCTACAAACACATACTTAAAAATTTTGCACTGCACAGAAAGGTATACAGTTTCTTCCACCCTTATCTCCTGCCACTGACCCTCAAACTGTTCTCCAGGGGCAACATACAATTGATAGCATATATCACCCGAAAGAATTTTGTGACTGGGCAAGTTATGTAGATACACAATCCACTATTGATGGGTACTCAGATTATCTTCAGGTTGTTGCTGTTAGTAATAATGTTATAGTGAGCATCTAGGTATATGTGTCTTGATTTTGGGGAGCTAATATCCATAAAGAGATCACCAATAATGGAATTACTGAAACAAAGGGTAAATGCATTTAGGATTGCGATAGCTATTGCTATAACACCATGTGATAGAGTAGAACTGCCCCATAGAGTTTGCCAGGCTACGGGAGCTCTGGTAGCATAGTGCCTAAGGCTCTTGACTGCTAACCAGAAGGCTGGTGGTTCAAATCCACCAGCCACTCCTCGGAAGGAAGGTTGGGCAATCTACTTCTGTAGACATACCACCTCGGAAACCCAAGGAGGGGTCGCTATGAGTCAGATCTGACTTGATGGCAGTGAGTTTCATTTTTGGTTTGCAATCTTTACAGAAACAAATTCTACTTTCTTTCTTTGTGTGTGTGTGTGTGTGTGTGAAATTTAAAAGAAATATTCTTGAATGTGCTGGACACTAAACTAAGAACAAGGCAAGTTAGGTCACTGCTTTCATGAACTTACATTCTAGAATAAAACCTGTAAAATCCATAGTGCAATGCCTGGCACAGAAAAGCACTCAGTAAGTGTTAGCAATTATGATGGTTTTACAAAGGGGAGAAATTGAATCATGCATGTGGGAGCCTACACATGTATAGAATACCTGGTTGTTGTTAGTTGCCAGGTGTCGGCTCCAACTCGTGGCAAAATGTGTACAGTAGAATGAAGTGTGCTGGGTCCTCAGCCGTCTTCACAATCTTCACAACCTTGGTATGCTAGGGTCCACTGTTGTGGCCACTGGGTATTCTGAGTGTCTTCCAACCAAGGAGGCTTATCCTCCAGCACTGTAGCAGACAGTGTCTGTCGTGATCCATAAGGTTTTCATCAGATTTGTGGAAGTAGGTCACCAGGTCTTTCTTCTTAGCCTGTCTTCATTTGGCTGCTTCCCTGAAACTTGTCCACCATGGGTACCTCTGCTGGTATTTGAAGTATTGGTGCTATAACTTGCAGCATCATGGCAACACACAGGCCACCACAGGAGGACAGACGGACATGCAGATGGTGGTGAAAGGGTTCAAGGAAAACTATGTATCATTTTGTTGGGAATTGAGGAAACATCAAGCATCTGCCTCAAAGAATGGGGGCTGATGGAGAGTCTGGGGGAGGGCCCTAAACTCTCCTCAGACTGCTCCCTCTGCTTGCCCCCTGGAGGCAGCCAGAACCTCATTGCATTGCTAAAGAGCCCCAGGTCATCCCTGTGCTGCAGAACGGACAAAACCTTTGTCCTCGATTTAAATATTTAATGAGCACAAGGAGCCACCTAAAGGAGTGGAGCTGGAGGTGGCCAGGTGCCTGAGAAGGGTGAACTATGAACCCGTCCAAATGCTTCCTTTCCTTCCCTGATAACGAGGTTGTCACTGGCGTGCGGGCTTTCTTCTTTAACTTGAGTCTTGTGTTCCCTTGGGCTCCAGTGCCCCGCGCCTGGGAGGAGGAGGGCAAGGGGAGAGGGAAGACATATTTTTCTGTCTCGGAGGCCCTATGACAGTGGGCTGGAGGGGAGGGGATGCGCAGACTGCCTTCCTGCCAGAGGTTTGATGCTGTCCTCGTTCTGTTTTCAGGGGAGGTTCAGAAGCAAGAGCCAGATGAAAGGTGTGCGGCTGCCAAGGTGTTGACAGCAGCAGAGGATGCTGGGAGGCTCGCAGCCAGCACCGCAGCAAATCAGAACCCCGGGAACCAGCGCAAGGACTTTCATCCTTCATTACCCCAGTTACCTTCTGAGGAAGAAGCAGTAAACAGGCTTGGAAGGGAAATAATTAAACTGACAAAGGAACAGGCAGCTGCAGAACTGGAAGGAGACAGAAGACAGGGTCCCGTGGAGGTTCAGCAGAACGACCTGGGACCATCCTCCCTGGGCCTGACCTCCTCCGAGGCCAGCCAGCCAGTGCCTGGAGATCCTATGCCAGAAGATGGCAAGGCGATCCCAGAGGGTGGAGGCCCGAGGAGCAGCAGGAAAACATGAAGGGGAAAGAGACTGGACACGATGACATGTTGAAGGCACCAGGGACAGTAGAGAATAACGCATCAGTACACCACACGGAAGTCTCTTTCCCCTAACACTCCTCCAAGTCTGCAAGTGACAGAACGCTCTGGTCCTCTTGTAAACTGTGAATATTCTGACGATGCCAGTACAGTTTGATTTATTAAATGTGGGTCCTCAGGCTTCTCTGTGTCACCTCTTTGTACCACAGATACACTGCTGTGAACATGGCGAGGCCCAGCAATCATGGCCCGCCATATGGCTGCTTCTCCACATCCATCTCATCTTGTCAGCATTTGTTTTATTAGAGATAAGATGTTTTTCTATTAGTGCTTAATGTTGTCAATCAAAATTATGGGAAGAGCTTGGAAACGGGTGGCATTTTTAATCAGGCCCCGTCTTTGTAACAGTTAGGCAGCTGGAGAGAAAGGTGTAATTGAGCGGAATGGGTCCAGAGGGCCCTGTTACACTTCAACATGTCAGGGCCCGGAGGACCTCCCAGCCTGGGTGTGTTTGGCATCCTGCCTGCGGTGCTGTCTGTCAGGGCCCCAAGGCAGGCTCCAAAGCCTGGGCTCCGGCACCGAAATCCCCCAGCCCATTTGCTCACTGCTAGAGCCGAGTTTTCTAGCCCAGTCATTCTGGAGGATTAGTTGATAAAAAGTGACTGAGGAGGCAAGGAGGGGACAAGCAGTGGTGTTTTGTTTTATCCCCGAGAAGAGATGAGAGGTGGGGTGGTTACCAACCAGCTCCTGTTGAGTGGGCCCCTGACCCACGGCGCCTCCAATCACAACGTAATGAAACGCTGCCCAACCTCACCATCCCCAGGATAGTTGAGGATGGAACATTGTGACCCATAGTGTGTTCATTGGCCGAAGATGGGAGGTAGAACCTGGAAACTCTGGCTTTCTCCTTCCAGCCTGTAATGTGTGTGGGATATTTGGGGTTTGGAAAGGCATGGCTGCTTAGGGCCACTCCAGTTTTCCCAAACCACCTGAAATTTTGAACCTTCACACATTCAGCGCAAAGGTATGGCTGCCTCGTCTGTGCCAAGTACTGGGACTTTAAAGACAAGACACAGCTCACAGCCCTAGATGGGAGAGAGACAGGAGAAAACAGTACAGCACGGGAAGGAGACCAGTGGAGTCCTTGGGTGGTACAGATGGTCAGTACACTCAGCTGCTACCTGGAAGGTCAGTGGTTTGAGTCCACCCAGAGGTGCCTAAGCAGAAAGGCCTGGCAATCTACTTCCAAAAAATCTGCCATTGAAAACTGGGGGGCACAGTTCTATTCTGACACATATATGGTCACTGTGGGTCTAACTCGATTCAACAGCAACTGGTTTTAAGAACAGTGGAGCCAAATACAAGGTCCAGGGTTGGGAAAGGAGGGAATGTCAGCCCTACTTGGTTCTTTCCTTTGGGATGAAAATTAGCTTTTCTAGGCAGCATCTGGAAAATTGAAGGATCATTGAACGATAGCCCTGTCTTTGAGCTGGACTCAGTTCATCTCCCCAGGAAGGCCTAATATGCGTTTCCAGATCTACAACTGCCCCTGAGAACGGAATCACTCTTTTGAGAGATCCTCTTGCTGGGGGACAGGGGTGGAGAAAGGGCTCCCAAGGTGGGTGGTGTGGAAAACTCATCCTAAAAAGAGAATTTTAGTCCCTGAGTGGTGCAATTAAGCATTTGACTACTAGCTGAAAGTTTGGTGGTTCAACTCCACCCTTCTGCTCTGAAGAAAGACCCGGCAATTTACTTCTGAAAGGTCGCAGCCTTGGAAACCCTATGGAGCAGTTCTGCTCTCTACAGGTGGGGTCACCATGAGTCAGAATTAACTTGACAGCAGCTAAAACTAAGATATGTATGCCAGGCTTTTTATCCTAAGGAGCTCTGGTGGAGTAGTGGTTAATGCATTCAGCTGCTCACCAAAAGGTCAGCAGTTCAAACCTGCCATAGGAGCAAGATGAGGCAGTCTGCTTCTGTAAAGATTTGCAGTCTTGGAAACCCTATGGGGCTGTTCTACTCTGTCCTGTAGAGTCAGAATCAACTCCGAGGCAGCAGGTTTGGGTTTTTATTTATTGATTTATTTATTTATTTTGGCTCGTCATCGATCCTAGGTGTGAAACCTACACATGGATGGCCAGGCCACCCTGATGCTTCCCTGCCTGATTTCCTCTTTCATTTCCTTTATCACTTTGCCAGCAGCAAAAGTGAGAGTCTCATTAGATCTCACGCTGTCTCACTCTGAAGGGGGCAGCCTGCAGACAAAATGTCCCAATCCTTTGCCAGTGCACACCCAGAGCTGCCAGCCTCTTTCTTCCCACTCACCGCAACTAGCGAATGGGGGGCATGCGGAGTCAGTTCACCGCTGCTCCTGGTGAGATGGATGTGCCATCTGGTCCCACCGTCCTGGGCCTCACTGCTCCATTCACCCTCCTGTGTTCCCGCTTCCCCCCTCAGGTCCACCCACACCACTTCCTCTTAAGGGAGGTCCCTGCTGCAGCTGCAGCCCTTGCCCCAGCCAGCAGCCACAGAAATTATGTTCCCGCTGGACGAGCCCTTAACTGTCGGCAAATGCTCAGCACGGCTGCACGGGACACAGAGCCACCACAGGAAAGCACAGCCAAGTTCAATACAATCCAGATAAAAAGGACACTCCCCCGGCCGAAGCTCTGGTTTTGACACAGTCTGGCAGATACATGTCTGTAGGGCCCGGTCATCACCTTCTGGAAAGCAGGGCTCGTAGCAAACGGCAGTGGGCCCGGGAGATTCCAAGTGTGGGGAGGTGGGATGTTAACCTAAACTCTTGTGCAATTAGATGGAAATTGGGACCAGTGAGTTAACCCTGGCACCTGTAGTCATGACCACACCCTGTATATATACATGTGTGTCCCTGTCCCACTTCTGCATCCTAATCCAACATGGCTCTTCTCTCCCATAGACATTAAAGAGAGTTTCAGCAATTACTTATGATTGTCATTTTTCTTTTTAAAAGCCATTCAGAAAGCCTGCAGCATTCTCTTCCTGCTCCACCAGATAACCTGAATCAGGAGTACTGGCGCCTCCTGGGAAATAGCGCCTGTGGTAATTCGTGTTAAATTGCTGAATGATCCCTCACAGCTGGTGATGGCCAATAGAAACTGCTCAGTGCCCCACCCCCTCAAATCGCACATAGGGCATGTGCCATGCCTGCAGGTACCTGTCAGCTGGGAGTCACACTTAAGAAAGCTTAAACAATAGGGAAGTGAAGTATATTGCACACCAAGAACTTGAGAGGTAGGACCCAGTTGCAGGGCTGGTTCATTCAGGAAAGTTCGCAAGGTTCTGGGTTTCCGTCATCCTGCTCTGCCTGCCTTCGTGTCAGCTGCGCCCTCAGGACAGCGAGGTGGCTGCAGCAGCTCCGGCCATCACCTCTTCTCACATCGGTGTCCAAAGGCATAAGGAAATTTCTCCTCCTGTGTGTGAAGTTTTAGAGCAAGAAACCAGTTCCTATCACATTTCAGTGGTGACAGTTGGCACTGCCAACACCAGTCCCTGGCAAGGAGGATGGAATAACTGTGATAGGTTCATCAAAATTCTCCCTCTGGTTTAGGGGCATGTAGCTTCTAAACGGTGAATGCCAAAACCAAATCAGCCTGGGGAATGTACAAGACTCAGGAATAGATTTGAACTGACTGGGCCAATAACAGGAGGCTCTGGTGGCATAGTGCCTAAGGCATTTGACTGCTAACCAGAAGGCTACTGGTTCAAACCCACCAGCCACTCCTCAGAAGGAAGACTGGGCAATCTACTTCTATAGAGATAACGCTTGAGAAACCCAAGGGAGGGTTGCTATGAGTCGCATCCAACTTGACAACAGTGAATTTGGTTTTTTGGGAGGCCAATAACAGCTTTCTCTGAAACTCACATCTTATTTTTCCTTTTAAAAAGTCAGAATATTACGTTATGATGAGTTTGGAGTTGGGGGCAGGGATGGTGGTTGTTTGTTAAGAAAAATGCCATCTCATCTCTTCTCCACGGCTCCTTTAGGATCGGTCCTATTTGGTAGCTGGAACGTTCCTCTGTTGGCTTACCTATTCAGGTGTGTCTGTCCTATTATTTTTCCAGCTCGGTCGCCAGCAGAACAATCTAGAAAGATGAAGCAGAGCTGACAGGTCTCTTAATGAAAGCCTGTTTGCAAACTCTGCATTTCTTGCAGTCCCTCTCTACCTGAGAGCTTTTAGGTGTGGATTTTGACTGTATGAGTGTTTGTGGTTCTTTTAATCAAGTCCCATGGAAGTGGATCGGTTTTTGTAAACCAGGCACATTCTCTCCCTAACTCCTTTTTCCAAACCTCCTCTGCCTGCTTTCCTCTCCTGCCTTCTCCCTCTCGTCTATGCCTTGAACAGCTAGTCCCTGAACCCTCTCTAGCCTGGAGCTAGCTCAATCCCTGCTGGCACCTCCTCCAGGTTGGCAGTCTCCCACAAGCTAAATTAGTTTTCCCATTAACGCTGTCTCTGTGCCCTCGCTCCCAAATGCACCCCACCGTCACAGATCTGAAGTGCTTAAAAATAAGAAGGCTCTGGTATCACACCTGTATGTTGGAATGAATTGTTCAATGTGTTGTCCCTATTTGAGTCTTTGCACTCCAGTTTACCATGTGGCATAAAAATGTTTTATCTCTGCTGCCAGGAATTGCAGACTCACTGACTTGGTCTTGTGGTCATCTTCCCTGTCGCTTTAAAATCACAGCATATCTTTGCACTTCTTGGTTTTCTCCTTTTCCAAGAAGAGGCGCACTCTTCTGGCTTTGAGGTACCAGGGTGGCACAAAAGGTTTGAGATCAGCTACTAGCCTGAAGGTTGGTGTTGCAAACTCACCCAGCAGGTGTGCAGAAGAAAAAAGTGGCCATCTTTCCATAATGATGTCAGCCAAGAACAAACACCCTATAGAGCAATTCTGCTCTAATGCATTGGGTCACCATGAGTCAGAAACAACTCGGCA